CAATTATTTAGTAATGTCAAATGCCATTTTGGAATTATGGCATGATATTTGGGCTATCCACACACATTTCCACGACAAAGAATTAAGGAACAATTTCGTCAATTTTCAATGATGTCATTCCACTTTTATTTGATTAATTTCAATATTATGATATGCTAGATTTTTACATTGCTAAGATATTGATAAACCCTTATTTCAATGTATGAATGTTTATTATGGTTTAGATTAATTTTCAATTAATTGGTCATTAGTTGAATTGTTTGTGAATTTTATTGTCATTGAGAGAGATAATATGATCATTAGCACGTAGTCATAAGCATTGTAAAGTTCAATAAAATATAGAGATATATTTATACTTCACATGATTTTTCTAGATGTTCTAACTCGTTTAATACTTTCTCAAATGTTTATATTTTTTATAGAGATATATAGAGATCACATATAATATAAAATTTAATTGTTATCGAGAGAAACTTTAAATAAATTTGAAATTTTGACCAACTCGCATGATAACAATGAGTCATTTTGATTATTGTGCTAAAAATGGATTAACAAAGAAGATTCTACATCTTAACAATGTATCTCAGATATTTGATAAAATTTTACTTTGATTTATAGTATGTGATAAATTAGACATAGATATATTACAAATCATTATTGTTATTCGATGAAGGGTATTATTAACTTTAACTCGATAAAACACGTAATCCTCGCAGATTCGACACTCTACACACTACTATATTACTTGATCACTATCATGTACACTTGCGAATTTTCAACTATGAATCCAATTGCACCCAATTTTTTTTAAAAAAAATTCCAATTGGAGCAAAATTGAATTTAAATCCACAAAATTTAAGTAAAGATGATAAAAATAACTTTCAAGATGTAAATGTTTCTAATTTTTCAATATTGTCTAGAACTGTCCGTGGATCGGTTAGTAACTTTTACAAATTAACGTAGCTTAATTCAAAATCATATAAATAACTAACCGTCCAATAAGATTAATTTTATCTCATTTGAAGGTTTTAAATTTAATAAGCAAATTCGAATAGTCATATAATCATGAGCAAATTAAAATGTGCTAATGGACTTTAAAAATGATTTGAGCTTTGAAATTAAAATTATGAAATAATCTAATTTATTTAATTAATTTGCTAATTTGGTTAAAAAAAATAAAATAATTTAATTAATTCAATAAAAAATATATAAAAAAAATTATTTAGTTTCGGTTCTTATTTGATTCTTTGGTTCTTGGTCTAGACCCGAGAACCGACCCAAACCCATCGGTTCTCGATTCGGGTATTTAACTTATGAAGAACCGCTCGATTCTATTAGGTTCAGTACTTTCGGACACCCCTAATATTGTCAAATGGGAGATCTTGCAAGTATAGATATTGAAAAATCGGCTTTACTGGGACTTTAAAATCACGGAATTGCATGAGAGCTGAACTACATTAGAAAATGAATTGACAACACAAAACGTTTAGTTCCATTTTATTGCCTAAATAGTAAATTAATCCTAACACTCTCAATAAAGAGCAAGTTGATCATCAAACTTGCATGATAGTCACATAATCACTGCTCATCTATGAAAACCATCTAAATCTCCATCAAATCGCCACAATACCATAGTTGATCATTCTCAATTTCAAATTTCTAAGCACTAAACTGAGTTAAAGATCGACTTGCTCCTTTCAAAAGTTGGATACCAACAGAATCCTCAAAAACTAAATTAACCCGATCTTTCATATAGAAAATTGAATAAATTTTATTGGAGCGTCAGCAATATCCAGAAATATGGGAAGAAATAAATGAGGGTAAGAGAAGACTCCGAAAATCACAAAAGATGGAGACGAGGAAATTGCAAGAAGCAGACAGAAACAATAGGCAAAATGGTTGGACTAGATAATAAACATGCGAGCAGAGGCGGGATGAGAAGGAGAAGAGCACGGGCAAATTTGAGTTCTTCTGAACATAGCAACTCCAATTATATTGTCATTAATCTACCAATTTCCATCCGATTAATCCAAATTATAGTCATAACTTGGAAGTATAAACTTTGAAGATCGTTGGGACAGTGAGATAAAAAAGGGTATATAACTCTTAACATACATGTGTGTGTGTGTGTGTAATTGATAACTCTAAAAATATTTCTAAATTCAAGTGTCATCATTTGAGATTGTAATGGATGTTGACCCGTGTTTGTGTTCCATTAAAAATAGTTTTTAGGGAAAAAAATGTATTTTAGTAATTTTTGGAGAATGAATGATTAAAAAATAAAAATAAGAATTGAATTTACGTGTAATATTATTTTATTGAAAAATGTCATTGAAAAGAAAAAAGAAAAAAAAATACATTTTGAAATAAAATGTAGCCCAAATAGGAGCTTAATGAAATCCAATAAAATCTTTGGGACATAGTGAGATAAACTACTTTCTAACCCTAATCTCTTCTGCATGTATTCACAGAAATAGTTTTGTAATTAGATGGACTCTAGGCCATACATGATTCAAACTATCCAGTCACTTCGAGTGAAATTACCAATTTTAGGATATGCAGTCTGGCCTTGGGGGGAAGAAGGGCCTTCATAGCACTACAACTGGACCGGATTTCGGTTTTCTATTTTTTCCAGTCTTTCCAGTCAACCCAATCAGTCCGTTCAGGTTCTTGTGTTTCTTAATCCTCAAAAGAAGCTATCTTGTATTTCTTATTCTTCAAAAGGGCATCTTACTGCACTAATTACAATCACAGTTCCTATCAAGTAGTACGTGCTACAAAGAACTGGTTAAAAAATGGATACTTGGCCTTTTTACCTCACTTTTCAAAGCATAAAGATTATTTCTCATTAAAAAAAGGACGACTTAAATAAAGGGTTCCTAGAAAAGTTCGTGCAATAATTACGGAAAAATATATAAAAAGAACAACAAAAGATTGCATCGCAGTGTGTACGAAAGGAGAGGGAAAAAATGAAATGAAGAGAAGACAAAAGAAAAAAGACATGAATCCCACTTTCCATCACTTGGAGCTGTCCATTGGTCATTTACTAAAGAAACCAAGCTCAAAACTTCAGTTTGTGCTCGTTCTTTATTTGTTAGTGCACAGCATGTTTGGGTATGCTCAATAGTAACTTACTTTGACGGACATGATAAACTTTTGTTTCTAGAAACTAGAAAGTAAACATTAACTTATTTTCATAAAAAGGTAACTGTTAAGCACATCCAAACATGCTCGTGAACATCTTACATTTGAACAAAATCACAGAAAAAGTTAAAACACAATTGTGCATAACCTACTATATTTTATGATTTCATTTGCACAACGTTGCAAGAAAAGACTGTTTTAGTTGAGACTATAACGATTTGGGGAAGAGTTCTGAAGCTAAGATAATGATTAGCATAATTTGTATATTTATTAGCACAAAATAAGGTGAAACTTAAAAACACATCTCAAAGTAAGTGATTTCATGAAATGTATAATGAATGAAAAGGTACGCTCATGCCTGACACGTTGGTTAAACTGGCCAAGAAACATGAAACTATATAAAGCTCCAAACATAAATTGTTCATGAATGGCTCAGTGCATTTGCAGCCCTTTTGTGACAAAATATAACTTTCAAACCAGAATGCAGAAACTAGACGCCCAGTGCAATGCATGTGTGATAAGATATGAGGATAAACACTTTTTTTCTTTTCCTTATGGAAGGGTGTGGATTGGTGTTTGCAGATTAACAAAGACAGTGATGAAAAAGCACAAAAAAGGCGCGCCAACAAAATTCTTGCAACATTAGCAAAGCACGACTACATGAAATATAATACTTGAGGAAGATATTGCACTTGAAAATAAAATAATTAATGATGCAAGTAATAAACCAAAAGTGGTAACCTCACCCAAAATGCAACATGAATAATCAATGCAAGTTCCAAATAATGAAGAAGTAAAGTGAACTTACAACCAAAGAGTTGATTACATTTTAAAAAGATTTGACATTGATTTTGGCACAAATAAGCCAAGCATGCAACAGGAATGATACAAGCAAATTCTCAAATTGCTGCAGGATACTAAATGGCTATCCAAATGGTGTCAAGACAAATGCAAAATTGTATCTTGAGTCCCCAATTAATTTGTTCACAGCCTACTAAATTGGAAAAAAAATAAAGGAAAAGAAAACTTCTACTAGTCCTTTTTCCTATCCCATATAATTTGGTCTCAGCCTACAAATTTGAAGGGGAAAAAAAAGTTACAAGTCCTTGTTCCAAAAAGATCTAAATCATATTTTGAAACAGATACTGAATTATAAGTTTAAAAGAAATTTGTTCTTTGCAAAACTCCAGTTAAACTTACTATCAAAATTTCATTTTTTGATGGGAATATAAATTGACCATATTTTAGTAAAGTTTTTATATCTTAATAAGTGTTTTTGCTCTTTTCATTTTATAAAGATGAGCTTCCTTAGTTGAAAACTAATTTTAGACTGAACAATGAAATAAGCGTGGAGAATCTGGAGATTTAAACGACATACTTCTCCGATGAAAAGGGGTTGAACTTATTTGCAATTTATTACCATAATAGAGGAGTTTTTCTTCTTTTTTGATTTTAAAAGAACATACCTTCATCAGCTTCAACACCTCAGCACAAAGAACGATTGAGTGGCACAAAAAAGGTTCCAAACATTATTTCAATTTTGCTAGCATCCAAACCTCACAGTAAAGAAGGAAAGAGCGTTAGTTAAGAAAAATAAAGGTAGGATAATGCCCTGTGAATGTCCAAACAGGACCAATCTAATTTATCTCCAATAAAACCAGCAGAGGTTGTGATTAGATCTTACTACCTACAGGTGTTGAAATAAGTTGGGAAATCTTTTAAAGTATAAAAAACTATTTACCCTGTTAAACTACAGCTAAAACTAAATCAAGTTAATACAAAATACCTAGTGAGGATAGCATATGTATCACCAAAGACCACAAGTATGCAATTTCATATACATGTTACCTCAGAAATCATGCCGGTTTTAATACTCTTTTCCGCTTGTGGTGACGATATTCATCTTTGTAGCCATTGGAGGCACTGACCATCTGCCACTTGTCATCCTGGTGTTCATGTTGTGATTTTTTTGTAAAACGCCGGGAATGTCTCGAATCATGACCTGAATCCCTTTCCCTCCTCCTATCAATATGTGAGCCTTTGGCATCAAACACGTCTCTTCTTATGACATCTTTCTTCCACGGATAACGACCCAAACTTGAATCACTGTCACACTCTACCTTCTTGTGATGCTTTGACTCTCCATGATGATCTTTGTGCCTTCTTCCACTATACCTTTCAGAACTTTCGGACATATCTTCAATGCCTGAATTTGATCTCTCTGAACGATTCAGCCTTTTGTCTCTTAAAGCAGCAGAGGAGCGAGAGCTTTTCTCAAGTCTTTCATCGATGTAGTGATTGTCAGAATCTATATATTTATCATGCTGATTTTTTCTCAGTGATCTTCGAGTAACGCTGCCCTCAGATTGACTCAAACTATGTTCCTTCTCTTTCTGCGATTTACATTGATCTGATTTATCTGTCTTATTATCCCTACGGCATTCATGAGAATCTTTTTCTTCACAATGTTTTTCCCTGGTATACAAAGCCTTTATTAGCAATTTGCAATAACAATATAATATTACTATATAGGAAAGAAAAGGACATCGATAAAGGCTGCAGAGGGGAAGAGAAGGAGCATGCAGATTGAACACGAGTATATGGAAGTCTTAGTCGAGTAAAAATAATTCGTGAATCATGACTTCCTGGTTATCAAGAACAAGCATTACAGAAAAAACGAACTTAAAAGAGAAACGAATGAAGCGGCAACCATGATACGAAGCTTGTAATTGCTTAATTTACCAAGACTGGTTTCTTCTCTTTTTTTTTTTTTTGGTTAGCGAAGAAAATAATTACGACTTACGAGACATATAAACCTCAAAAAGAACATAATACAACCTTTGAAACAACATAGCCCCTATTTTGTTTTGATAAAAATCAGATTTTTAGTAGATTTTGAAAAAAGTCAATGAAATGTGAGGTTGAAAATTTGATAAAAGTTATAGGTCCCATGGAATGCATGGTTAAAAATGAGTTTTAAAAAAATGAGTTTTAAGAAATGAAGGCCAAACTAGGGGCATATTTGATATGAAAACAAAAATGAGGTTACAAATGAGGTATATGACCCCAAGCACCCATATGTATTTTCGTGATTGCAGGAGAATTCACAGCATCACCTCCCGCCTACTTCAAAATGTGTACACGTGTTCTTCACAGAGGGCTGATGAGTGATGATATAATATTACAAAGAACTTAAAAACAATGAGAAACTATGTGAGAGGTGCACCTAAAGTTCAAAAAATGGTAGCTGGACTTGCAATCATAAGTCAAAAGGATAATGTCAGTGTATTCTCAACAGTGCGATACTTTAAGAGCTTAACTTCTCTTATGTAAGCAAATAGCATAACTTTTAACCGTGGTAATGTAATCAAAATATGCATATGTATTATCAACTAGCAATTGAACTTTATATTCGACGCGTTTGTGTGTGCCTGTGCAGTGAGAAAAGCTTCCTTTTAATCCTTACTGCTGTGCTATATCATTAAAATTACCTTCCCAGATTTTCATTAGAATGCTTCTTTCTGTGTTCAAAATGCTGAAAGTTGGAGTAGGGAGGCCTCTCAGCTCTATTTCCTACAGGACCCATACCTCCCATTCCCATATTTCCCCTGCAAGATATCACTTAGTCTCAAAAACCGCAGACAGTAATTTTGAGAAAAAGACAAGTATACATCATGAAAACAAATTGAACTTACCCATGGCCATGTAAGCCAACACCCATAGAAGTAATGTATGGAGGAACTGCAAAAGGTGTCACCGGAAACATGGAGACATTAAAGGGCATCGCTGAAGGGTTACTATACATATTTGCATAAGGCCTGAAGGGCAACATAGAATCATTCCAATAGGGCTGCGGATAGCCTGGCACACCTCCATGAAATGCTCCATTTCCTAAAATAATAGCAGTAATTGTTAATATGAACATTTCCTGTTGGATATAGGAGTCAAGTAGAAAAGTTTTACTTGTACCTGGCTGAAAGGGGTGTAGACTGGAAGCAAGAGGGCAGTCTCTCATGAGATGATCTGGAGAACCACATGTGTAACAATTGCGTCCCCTCTGAATTTCAACAATGTCAAACAATATTGAGAAACTTAAACAGAAATCATGCCTGCATAAAGACCTTTCAGCATGCAAGACACAAAATTTGATTAACGGTTCCTGACAGATTTGTTAATCATGGTAGAATACAGTAAATCAAAACTAATAGAATGCTCCACAAACTACAAGGGCAGCTGAACGAAGGGGGATGAGAAAAGAAATTTTAGGATAATATAGGAAACACTTCATTTTTAGAAGATTGTGCTCTACTTTGACAAAAAAAATCCTGGGTTGGGTTTTTGAGTGATCCATGGAATGATGGAAGTTTATTTTATGCTATAGAACATATAGAAATTATAATTCCAGCAAATTCTGTCAAGGCTCACACTTTAAAAGGCTTATATAATGTACCTAAGAAACCATAACATGCTCGTTAGATATAACTAGATAAAGCCTGTGAATTTACCTTTTTGTAACCAGTGTGAGCCAAAAAATTTCCTTCTCCACCTGAAAATTAAATTATTTCAATCAGCAAATACATGATAAACACTAATATTTATTTCCACCATTAAGTATATAGCTATTAAAGCAGTTGATTGCACCTCCAGTTTCAATCCAGAACAACACCCCCCCCCCCCCC